AAGTTGTCATCAATCACAACACTCCCGGCCTGCCGAAAATCTACATTCACCGGGTTGGCCGGACAGCCCGTGCAGGTGAGCAGGGAAAAACGCATGGCATTTGCTGGCTAAAACTGGGATCCCAGTGGTGGGGCTGAGCCCTTAATGGGTGTGAGGAGGCTTCCCAGCAGCTGCAGCGCAGTCTTTTTAGTCAGCGCCAGATCTGCTCAGCGTCCTGCCTTAAGATTGCAACGATGGCCCACCCTGAGTTGTGTCTGATCTGCACCAATAGTTAACTGATTTTTCAGAGCAAATAAAGACCCCTCTGTGCACCCTGTCACCGTAATGTGCTAGGCCGACTCCTGGGGATGGATGGAATTTGGCGTGGGTTAGGCTTCATCTCCCTCTGCTTGTCAAGATTCATATATCACTGTGTTTTCATCATCCAGGTCGGAAAGGAATAGCTATTACACTGGTGACGCAGTACGACATCCATCTCGTACATGCTATTGAGGAGGAAATCAGTAAGTAGAGCACTATTAATGCTGCTAAAATGTAGGATCGCATATGTTGCTTTATGCTTGTGGTCCTTGCCGCACTGATTTCATCAGTGCAGAATGTATGATCCAGAATATCAGCATAAAATGGTTTCTCTTCCCTGTGTGGTTAAGGCTTGGAAAAGAGTAGGAGCGCTTGAATCTCCATCAGCTTTGATTCTGCTCTTGAGTGTGCCAGGCGTGAACCTGTTTGTCTTCCTGCTATTTCTAGTGGAAAAGAAACAGTGTGTTGAACTCTTTCTGTAAAATTTTATTAAAGCAGACAGCTTCTTCCTTCCTTCCTTGCTCCTGTGTATGGTGAGGTGGACAAAAAGAACAGGTTGTTTTGCATAGGTTCAGACTTCATCTTTTTTTAGGAAGTAGACCTAATTAATGCGACATCTTGTGCTATTGGGAATTTTAGGCAGAGGGGAGGATTTAATCCTTTGTTGTAGACCTGGAGAAGTCAGAGTGATCGTAGCATATGACAACAATTTCACTGATAATCAGTAGAACTGTATTGGGTTTTTTACTAGTTGAGAATCTGCCCCTGGATTTTGTAACCAGCCATGATCTGTAAATGTCTCGCCCTGATCTAGAACTGAAACTGCAGGAGTACTCTGTGGAGGAGCAGTCTGTGCTTGACATCCTCACCCAAGTGAACGTCACCAGGAGGCAGTGTGAAATAGTAAGTGTGCAAATGTGAAGCCCCTTTGCTCAGAGGACTGGAGATCTCGGGCAGCTGGGCATAACCAGGAGATTCGTTGCAGTCTAACGTGCATGTCTGGATACACAGCTTTGCTCTTGAGCACATAAATAAGAATTTTTGTTCCTTTTTCTAGTGGAAGCACTCGGATGTGTGTGTGTTGACGGTTGTTTTAGTTATTTTCCCTGGGTTTGCTGTATTATTGCACATTTTTTCGGCTTTTTTATGCTGCTGAGTGTTGAGGCTGGTACTTTGGGGGAAGGCCTGCAGGCTATCGATCATGTGCACACTGGTGAGGTTCTGCTCACCCTTTTGCGGCTGCGCTGCTTTTTTCCATGTCAGACTTGGTGTGTGGTTACTGATTGCCCTGCTGTATTTTTGCTTTGACAGGAGCTGGAGGGAACGGATTTTGATGAGAAGAAAGAAATAAATAAGCGGAAACAAATGATCCTTGAAGGGAAGGTGAGAGATGCTGCTATATAAACTACTTTGATCAGTAGCTGGCATAATGCCATCGATGTGGAAAAGAAATGACAGTTCCTCCCTCGCTGCTGTGGTGTGTCCACCTCGCTCCCCTTTGGGGTGGGGAAATTTTGTCTTAAAAGGTGACTGATGTTAAAAAGTGCATTGGAGTAGTGTCTGACTTTTGCAGCTTACTCAGTCGTGGGCTAGAAAGCAGCGTGGGCATCTAGGAAAGGCGAAAGGGCTGGCACTGTCCCTAGGCATGTCACTAGTGTCCTGGCATTTGCCATTGCAGGATCCAGATCTGGAAGCAAAAAGGAAGGCAGAGCTAGCCAAGATCAGGAAGAAAAACAAGCAATGCCGTGAGAAGATCCAGCAGACGCTGCAGAAGAAAAAGCAACTGCAGCTGAAGAGGAAACTGCAGAGGAAGATGGAGCGGCGGAACAAACTGCATGCTACAGAAGAGAAATAACATCCTTTGGCCTGATTTGCTTGGCTCGGGCTGCCCTGACATTGCTGCTGCTTTGGGAGTACTGGGATCTAGTGCGTTTTAACGTGGACACTTCTGACCTGAAGTCAGTGCTGGAGAGTATGGGGAAGGTGGGTGAGGGGAGAAGGGACACTTTGATAAACCGACTCCACCACTTTTCCTTCCTGCACAGTGCTGCTGGCTGGGGCCCTTCCTGGCAGGCTGGATCAGTCTCCTGGAAGAATTTCTTTCAAGAGTGTTTTTCCTTCCTCCAGCAAAAGAGAGGCCAGACCTGAATTCTTGGTGACGTGAAGGGAAATAAAGATCCTCTCTCTCTTCCCCCTTCATTCAGTCATTGCTCTTTCC